GCACCACAAATGATGGAATAAAAAGTTACATTCCCTGTAGCACCACATCAGCGACAGAATCAATCCGGCGAGAAGAAAACCCGCCTCCAAGTGTAGGCTGCAAAAAAAAGATCGCATCCCGCCCCAATTGGCTAACCTGTAATGCCAAACACGGCGGCAACCTGCAGAACGCAACCGCGATGGGAGCGTGAGTGGCACCGTATTCCGGATCAGACAATGGTCCAAGGAGCCAAGAGGGGCATCAACGGAGATATGATATCCATCCGGATGAGAGATCAGCAGAATGTCCAACAGGAAGATTATGTACCCTGTTACATGATCTTCCACATCTGGGATCCACGTAGGCGAGGAAACCAGTTGTGCCAGACCATATGCCAAAACAATGTCATAAACAGATCTACCCGCATGATCGGTTCAACGAGAACGATCTATGCGGATGGGACCTGTTGTAGCCATTGAGCTATTATGTACTACGTGCTAGAGGCGACACTGCATTAAGTCACGCTGTCCCATTCAATTGCGGTGATATTGCCGCACTTTACTCAGTCGCTCGCTAGGCTCTAGTGAGTTGATACATGCTGTGTTAATTATATAAAAAATCTTGATATAATATGCCATGGTGTGTTTTAGACATTGCACAAATAATTCAAGAAATGTTAGCAAATACCAAGGAGTAACTTGTCATCGGTAAGTAAAACACTTAATAAAAAAGTATTATAGATTAATAATCAAACAAATTATTCAAAAGACGCCATCACGTGTCATGAAATATATATTATGAAATTAATTTGTTCAGATGCGACGTTTCTGTAGGTACTTAAGTGTGAGAATAATTGTGCATAATATAATATGTTTTTTTTTGTAGAAACATATGGAAGTATTCATAATTAGGCTAAATTTCTGATATTTAAATTTGCTGATTAGTCTTTTATTAGGTTTCCACGTCGAAGCCATGAAAATAGGGAAAAATGGCATAAATTCATCCATTTTTTAACTCTCGTGTGCTCAGCATTTATTAACGATTCTTATTCTAATCTAAATAAATATTTTTGTAAATAATATTTTAAATCAATAAGTTTTGTTACAAATACATTTAGTATGTTTTTTATATTTTACATAGTTACCTTATAAAACATTCAAATCAAAATATCATTTAAATGTAATTCTGATATAATATTATGTAATATTATATTAAATTAGTACATATGCAAAATAAAAAACTATTAAGAAAATTGTACTCGATATAATTAACAATACAATCCAAATAAACAATTCCTTACTAAATACTGATCATTCTACCTACGTATAATCTATGATGACAAAAACTGCGCATGCGCGTTTTTACTATTTACCGCGCATGCGCGAAGACAGAGTAGCGCACATTCTTTGTTTGGAATAGCTTCTCTAGTACGTAGTACATTATAACTCAATGGTTGTAGCACGGAGTCTGTAGCCATTTGGACGTGGTCGATGAGTCGGTTTGTGTCGGCATTGCCGCTATGGGGCCTATAGAGGCATCCGTAGACGCGGGGATGGTCGTCGCTGTTTACGCGCAGCCATTAGATGGACAGGTCCGTACCTTCAAGGCTACCGAGGCGTCGAAAGCAGACATTCACGGATAGCGTGGCAGAGGGCGTCTTTGACTTATTGCTTCGTTTGCCACAAGCAGGTTTAGTCTTTCAGAATTTCGCCTCCCCCCCCCCCACAATACGCGGGGTAGCCTGAGCACCCACGCTCAAGAAGAGTAGGGTAGCTTGGGCGTGGTTCCTCAGCGAGGGATTCTCCGTCACCGGTGATGCTGGTACCCCCTCCTAGGGTAGTGTATTATTTAACTCCGCTACCATGTTAAGGGGGGAGGAGAATTGGGCTTCCGGCCTCCTGCACTCACCAGGCGAGATGCAAAAACAGAGCTTCTACTTCACGCTGGTCTTCTGTGAGGTTGTGGTACCTCCCCAGTACGGTAAGGCTGCCGCGTGGCTCTACCACTGTTGCACACATCATGATAAACAAAGTTCAAAGTTTTAGTGGCTTGCTCCACTTTTTGGCAAATTGGTTGGTTACATTGATGAACGTTTTATTAAATGAAAGGAGAATGAAAGTAACATGAAAGTGATTTGTTTTTGAAAGATAAGAAAGTAAAACGATAATATTATGTAAAATAAGAAAAGAAGAGAATTTGGGTGAACGAGTGGATGAGGTTATGTGTTAAGGATGTGTGTTTAGCAGGGATGGTAGTCATGACATGGATATGAAACGATGAGTGAATCCAGGACAGAGTAAATGGGGATCTATGTGTAAACTCTGTTAGTACTTACTGTATGGTACTGAAAGTTGAGGGTGGCGGAAAAAGCATGAGAGCTTTAAAATGCGGTCATTAAGAAGTATGGTAGGGGTCAATGTAGTGGCGGTGTAAGAATATCCACTAGCCCATACTCGTATCATCCTTTGGGTGTCGTAAGAGGCAACAGAGGGAAACAAATCAGGAGATGGGCAGCAGCGACTTCCTAATAACGACTATAGATTAAAATAAACTATGGTTGCCAAGGGTGGTAACTATGGAAAATATTCCCCCTATTTGACCATCTATGGGGGAGACCTATGTTCAGCAGTAGACTTTAACGATCACGGACTGAATAATAAGGTGAAAAATTGTGTGATAAAAGAAAACTGTTCTTTGCGAGACGTTATAATGAGGATTAGAAAAGGAATGCTTGGGTAATTTGGAATTTATTTTGTCTATTCTTATTTATTTTTACTTCTTATATTAAAGGAAAGAGTGACAGCTGCAGTTATGCTGCATAAGTGAGCGGTAGAACGCCCTTGATGTAAGTTTATTGACCAAATTGAATAAAACCGACGAGCATTATTCGTTATACATCAATGTGAAATAAGCGAAAGAATTGTATTATGATCGTGCTAAATGAAAATAATTAATATAAATTACACGTGGTGGAGCTATGCTGCACCAATATTATAGTTTTAGCACTCGCTGTAAATTTCACAGTACGCGAGCAACCCGGGTTCGATCCCCGCCGGCACCAATGAAATTGTTAATTGCAATTTTAAGTGCTGATTTACCACGTGCTCGGTGGTGAAGGAAAACATCGTGAGGAAACCTGCATGTCTGAGAAATAATAGAAAAATAATATTTCAAAGACATGTGAAGTTCGCCAACACGCATTGAGGCAGCGCGGTGGACATTGCCTTGCCCTAAAACCCTCTCAAAAATGAGAGGAGGCCTGTGCCACATGAGTAAAGAAACGGACCAGAGGGGAAGCTACATACAAACGACTCGCGGCGAATACACCTATACATAGCGCAGCGATGTGTGCGTGAGTTCTCACCGACAGGTTCACCGACGCTCCGTCGGGGTACAAACCAGTTTGCGCCGGCTCAGTCAGAGTATCCATGAATGGGCTGTTAGCAAGTAATAGTGTTCTGTGGCTGTTAGCCGTGCGCATTTAATTAAACAGATAATAGTGTTCTGTGGCTGTTAGCCGTGCGCATTTAATTAAACAGACCAACAATATTTCGAAATTTTATACATCAATTAATTTGTTAAGTTTTTTTGCAATTATTAAATAATTAGATTTAAATATTTTTATTAAAATAATTAAGAATTAAGTTATTATAAATTTATATAGGTAAATAATAAGTGTTCTGTATAAGCAAAAATGCCTAATAGTTGTACAGTATGCATGAATAATTCTAGAGAAAATAAGAATATTTCTTTTTTTTGTACCCGAGAGATCAAATGAAGTAAGTACCTTTTTACGTATTATAGTATACAATAAAACTAGGTAATAACATTGATAGGTAATTGAGAATGTGTTAGACAGGTACGTCGCCGAGTGATGAAGTCGGTCTCACTTACTTGAAACGTTAGTCTAACCTTGACAGTGCCATAGATTGCAGGTTACCTACGTTATAAGGCTAAATGTGTGATTTTATCCCCCCACTTTAGTATAGAGGTAGGTTGCTTCCTGGGGAAGGATATAAGCTACTTTTTGTGAGTCGCGACCCCAGGGGTAAATATCACTGCATTATGGTTGGAATACAATCGCCAGACATTGGTGGGGGTGGTGGGATTGGTGTTAGTGGAAGTGGTGCTGGTGTTGGTGGATAGTGTTGCTGATAGTGCCAGTAGTGGTGGAGGTGATAGTATCGTAGGCAGTGGTAGTAGGCAGTGGACCAACAGTGGCTCCATCAACACCACCACCATTTTTTCCTTAAATTTTTCACATGCATCATGTGACAACCCTATCAGAATAGGTATACATTTTCGACGTTGTTAAGAAGCTTCCCCTCTGGTCCTTACTCTTTACTCTGTGCCTGTGCACAGTAGGGAGACGTATATAGGCTGTAACTTTTAACGAACGGGTGGGCTAGAGCGGGGAAGGACCACGCTCTCACAGAATACCAGCGTAAATAGCATAGCTAATGTTGCTGTGTTCATTAGAGTGTAGAGAACCGATGACCTTTTTTATTGGAAATGAGGCATTCCATCTTATTAGTCCTCAGGGGTGACAACGCATCTGAATTTTGAGAGTATTTTAGTACCATAAGCATCCAAAACAAAAAAGGGTTAAAGCGGAGATGTATAGATTGAATTTATAAGAACACTAACTGATACTCGCGACTTCGTCCGCGTTGCTTGATATATTAACAAAGGTTTCATATGTGCGAAGGGAAAAACATCAAAAAGATCGCAAGCAAAAAATATACTTTGCTTACAAAATTTCTTTCTAATCAATGTTATTTGTTGCATATAATGTTCACTGGACACGTAGTGCTTATAAAAATCGTTGTTTCTTAAAACTTTAATAACTTTATATTCAATGAAGATATCGCAATATATATATTTTTAGATAAGGGCCAAGTGTTTAAGAAATAAAACTTAGAAAATCTAATTGAAATCTATCCAGTAGTTTTTCCGTGATGCGCTCACAACTGCAAACCTCTACCATTTTATTTAGGTATATAGAATAGATATAGATTACCTGTAAAAGATCCTTGGCGAGAGCTATAGAAGCGTCTACTTCCCGAGCTCGATTTTCTCTAGCTGCTTCAAGTACTTTGAGCATATTTTCCTTATACCACTTTCTGTTACGACGCTTCGTCCTCTCAAAGGCGTCCAAATAAAATGCCTCAACCATTTTAATTAACTGTTTTAAATTTTAGGTCATTGTAAAATTTTAAATCTAATCCTTCAGTTTTGACGTACGTTGTTGAAGTTTGATTTTTAGAAGATTTATTTACATTTATTTGAACCAACCCATTTCGCTAACAGAACACGTTCCAAAACACCAACACACAATCTTAAAATAAATTCATATTTTATATAAAGGTTTATAAGTCATGCAAAATAAAATAATACCTTTATTATACAAAAATAGAAATTAAGTACTAGTACAGAATAAATAATAGTACAAAAACAGAAAGATCACTCTCTGATAGCAACTTACACGTTGAAACTTAGTTACAACGTTGCTAATGTTCATAATACTTTGCACGCCTCGGAAGTGACCTTCGTGAAATTAGCCTGCCATTTATATCACCGAAAAAGAAATTATGCGGCGCGCGTATTAAATCAAAAAACACCTTACGTCCGCGTGCTTTCTTAAAACTTCCTTTGTTAAAACCGCTTCTACTGTAGGGTTAGGTGATGTGAGAAAACAAATTGAATCCTTTAATATGTTGGTTGTAGAATACACCGAGGTGTTATGCAATGTATTAGTAATTTGCTGTTATAAGAATATTATTGTTCAATGTAAGGTAGGTTATAGGTATTATCTATATCTATTAAAGTATGTAGTATTTGTAGGTAATACTAATACTACCTAGCTACCTACTTATATTTTATTACTATTACGTGCTGTTATTTTCAATCTCTTTTTCTTATCGACAGTGTTTTTAACTAAAACCAGCTGCGAAGCTGTGATCGCGTCGCTAATCAAATTTTAAATCTGTAACTATGGACAGATCCGCCGCTGGGGTCAGGAAACCGGGTGCTACTGAGCGCTCGATTTTCCTGGCTCCGTGGTCTCCGCGTATCACACTCGAAGGGGCCATTATGCGGCGAAGGTGAAACACCATGGGGTTTAGTCGGTGCTAGTCCGACATAACCCGTCCTTGCCCCCACGAGGCGGTTATGCGTAGGCATTTCCCCATTTAAAAAAAGGTACCTAATTATCTAGATCTACCTATAAATATTAATATCTTATCTTTCCATATCCTTTGGAACAGTAAAGAATGAAAAGTTGACATTACTATTGTTATTTAAGCACTTGTATGCTATGCAGAACCTTTTGACTTTTTGAGTGGCCATACTTGAATAAAAACTCAAAAATAAATGTCAAAAGTGCCTAAATACTTACAAGAGAAAAATACTATTTGCTAACGTAAGCAACGCGTCAGCTTGAGCGCGCGAGTGATAACCTCACTGAATTAATCCCTTATAGGCGGCCGCGCTGCGTAGGTATATTTTCACGCCTAAAGCGCGGAGTGAGACAGGTCTGGTACTAGGTATGTTAAAAATAAATTTTATAATTACATACATGTAGTATGTATATATCTATCTATAAGTTGTCTGGACGAGCCAAAGATCCAAATCGCGAAGTGTGCAGCCTTGGTAATTACTTCTTGACGTGATCGGATATCATGATTATACATTGATGTTTTGTGTGTGTGATGTAGAATAAACCCTTTTATTCCAAGCTAATAAGCAATGACGGAACCTACTAAAGCATCACCGACCAGGAAACATGTAACCAAGTACCAACTATACACAATTGCCTCTTCCAAAGCAATAGATCAATTGTCTAGCGAAGTAGAAAAGTCAAGAGAAATCTATGTTCACCAGGCTTCTCCCATATATTGCCTCATAGTATAATATCCCCCATATTTGCCATAGTTGCTACGCTCGCCAGGTAGGCTAAAGCACAGTTTTTTTAGTATTTCGAGTTATCAGGACGATGCTTCTGCCCATATTATTTATTTCTCACTGTCGCCTTTAATTACGCCCTCGGGATGATATAGGGTAGTGAAATCTTTTATGCTACTAAATTGAACTACTGAAATTATTATTACAATAAAAGCCAATATTGTATAAAAAAATCATTGTATTTTTTTAAAACAAAACAAGGTTATTTACTCATAACATCTGTATTACAATATAACTTAATAGATCAATAGATATTTTAATAGAAACCCGCGTTCATAACGGAATGTGTGTTTTTTTTTAGATTACTCACACTTGAACAACTTCACAAATATTATTTACAATTTTATTGTCACTAGGAGTACAACGGCCAGGCTATATATTATACTGATTTAGTTTTGGACATGTTACCATAATGTTTTCCCTTGTGTATTGAAAAAAGACAAATATTTATGGCGGCAAATGTTTTGTACGGACGGTTAGTTTTCTAATAACATGGTTTACTTCGCGTTCTTTTTAATGAATGATTATCGCGTATAATTTGGAAAAGGACATAATAGTATTCACATTATTTATTTGCATTAATATTTTAATTTAAAAATAACTACTACATTTTGCGGGTTAGGAAAGGAAATTACTTGGAATGATTTATGTCGACAAAATAAACTCTAAAATGCTATAGCACGTATGTATCTTAATCTGTTGTTTAAGAAAATACCTATAGTAATTCCATTCTTTATGGCGTCACTTGTAAGGAAGGTGGGGAACCTCTTTAGACATGGCACCCTGCTAACAAACGTTATAATCATTAGTTAATGACGCAAAACAAAAATTAACGACTCGGCAGGGTTCGTAAATAAAGACCGATATGGTGGTGGAGTCAGAGAATCCATCATCCCCCATTTTGTTCTGTGAGTGTGGTAAGAGGCGACTATGTGATATCCTCGTTCTGTTAGCTTCCAATAGATGGCGCTACAACCAATTCTATCTTGTTTATGCCAGGCGTGAAATACAGTCGGGCTGATTAAGGCAATTTAGTTGTTGAAGGGTCAGAAACATCGAATATTTGTATTTTTAGATTACAGCTTCACAATAATTTCACGTTCTTTATATTTTTAACCCCCGACGAAAACATAGGGGTGTTATACGTTTGTAGTGTATCTGTGTTTCTGTTTATTTGTCTGTGGCATCATAGCTCCCCAAGGGATGAACCGATTTTAGTTAAAAAAAAAAATTCGTTTGAAAGGTGTCTTAATCGAGAATGTTTATAACTATATTTCAAGAAAATGTGTTCAGCCGTTTGAAGATCAGCAGCATTTTTTGCTTCGGGGTTTTTAATTTTTTTTTAATTTAAGTTACAATTTACAAGTGTAATATACAAGTTATAAGTATTACAAATTCTCCTTCAAATCATCGCAAACCTTGTTTGCTGACGTTACACTTCAAGTTTTGTATATTCTTCTCAATCCGCAAAATTTCACTACGTTTTTTACATAAGAATTCTCCCATCATCAGTTTTGACTTTGCGACCTTGCAGCCTTCCTACCCATAACAGGGCTTCCTCCCATCTGTCTTAGGAGACCTCGTAAGCCTCGGGCTTCCCGAAGCCCACTATCGAGTTGTTCCGATGGGACAGCACAGAAGTCGTCGACCAGGGGCAAAGGCCCACTGAGGCGTTCGGAGTACTGAGCTAATCGGGACTGGTGGCCGATTGGTGAAGTTTTTTCAGTGGACTGTTGCGTCTGAAAGAAATTAAAATACGGAATTTTAATAAAAATCATTTCAAGTTTCATTTGCCTAACAATATTATTTGTTACACATATCGACGAGTGAAAGACAAAATAGTTTAAGCGACACCCTGAATTTTATCAATATCAGTCATATATATATATATATATACATATATTCAAAGGGAGGAGGTACTTCGACTATTTTTTTTGTGCTACCTCATTACTTTTTTCTAGCTGAACCAATTTTGATGTTTATTTTTTTATTTGAGAATTGGCTTTGGTGCTTCTCATGTGGTCCATTATAAATTTGATCAAGGTCTGACCAGTACCTTTTTCAGTTATCACTAATAATTTAATTTGAAGTCGGTTGTAAAACATGTTTAATTTTACCACTTGTTTTCACTCCAGATTGTACAATTCAATAGCCAATCAGTGAGGAAATACAGCCAGTGTTCTCGGTACTATACCGCAGGGTGTACGGCTGTTTATTTTTTTTTCATGTTATATAAATAAACATATATTTCTACGAAAAGCATGTGATAATTGTGATTCAGTTCTTCAATTATACATATATACAGCCGCATCGGCAGTGCGTCTCCGTCATTCACGGAGGATAGGGCGAGTGGTGCCTTGATCGCCATATATCATTTCACTTACTCCACGACCCTAGCTGTCGGGTCACAAACGCGCATCTGGAGTGGACACCCCAGCCTACCCGCAACCATTTTTAGGTGTTGGCATGGCATCGAACACTAACTTCATATTAAGAATTGAAGATTTAATTAATGGTGAACAAGGCCTTTGATGTAGTTCTTAGAGTTGACAAAGCCCCCATTTATATTTTTAATCTTTTATAAGGATGGATATAAAGCTCTCCTGGTTAATTTTAAAACAACAATAAGTTCTGAATACTGTGGGAAACAAATCTGAAGACAGTAAAGTACAATTTCTTATATTTACACGAATACTACTTAATAAATAAAACTAAATACATACATGATTTATGGATAATATGATTTTGTCATGTTTAATTTTAACTTAAGTTTAATTACTGAATGTTTCAAGTCCTTTGCAGCACTATTAACTCACGGAAGGTCTAAGTGACTGAGGGCGAAATTCAAGTTGACAAAAAAAGGTTGGAGACAGCCGAGCATTTGTTTAGCCAATGGCAGGAAAGAGAGGGAGGAATAAAGTCATGTAATTTTTGCAAACCCTTTTCAAAATATATGTGGTAGACAATCGCGAAACTGAATACTCTGAATCCGTGCATGAGGCTGGCAAGATTGATTGAAGTCACTAATAAGCCTTTTAGTCTGCCTGTCGATTAAATCCAAGTTGCTAGGTGGTATTTAGTGATGACTAAGAACCTTAGTAGTCGGGTCTTGGATAAAACATGATAACACAAACTTTCAACAGAATGTTTTAAAGAAAAGTTTCTTGAAATCTTTTTCTTTTTTTTTATAGGTTAGGTGTGACAAACGAGCACACAGTCAACCTGATGGTAAGTGGTTGCTGCGGCCCATAGACATCTACATCTATCCCCTATTACAAATCCAAATGCAGATGTATTGTCACCCGTGAGGACTAAGATGGAATACCTCGTTTCCAGTAAAAAGGATCTCCGGTTCCCTACACTCACCATACGAAACATATCAGTGTTAAGCTGCTATTTTACGCTGGTATTCTGTGAGAGCGTGGTCCTTCCCTGGTCCAGCTGACCCTTTCGTGCTAAAACTATACTACTAATACAGAATACTACTAATACTAATAAAAAATAAAGAATAGTGAAAGTATTATGTATTTCAAGGAACTTTTCATAAGTAATTAACGAAATGCTTTCAACTTTACACACTGCACACTAGGACAAAATAAATTTAACATGCTTTTAGTATTTTTATTTTCTTTAAAAAAACATTTCTTCCACACTAGGGTTTTCTCCTGTATTGTGGGGGCAGTTTACATACGAGGGTGGATTGAAAAGTACTCGGCCTAACACAGATCCATTCAATTCTAAAAATCAAATCTACCCACATTATTTAGTTCAGTTCAGACTACTTCATTGTGTGAAGTTCGAAACGTGTGAGATAATTAGTTGTGATTTTATAAATTTATTAACAAAGTAATCGGACATAATTTCCGCGAATGGAGCAAATCGAGCAGCGTGCCGTCATTAAGTACCTCCATAAGAAGGGGCTATCATCAAAAGCCATCCATGATGACATGGTCAGTACATTAGGCGATTGTGCTCTGTCATATTCATCCGTCAAAAAAATGGATAGCAGAATTTAAGCGTGGTAGAGAGAGTGTGAAAGATGAACCCCGCTCTGGAAGGCCTTCGACGTCAACTACTGACGAAAATATTAAAAAAGTACTTGATTTAATAATGGGAGACCGCAGATTAAAAATTAGAGAGATAGCCGAGATTATAGGCATCTCTTATGAACGAACTCAAAACATCATTGTCAACGAGTTGGGTTTCCACAAGGTGTCTGCGAGGTGGGTTCCGCGACTGCTTTCAGTTGTGAATTTCAGCCATTGACTGTATCAATGGCTGAAATTCACAACTGTGGCTTTGAACTGTTACCGCATCCGCCGTATTCACCTGATCTGGCACCATCAGACTTCTTTCTGTTCCCTAACCTAAAAAAGCACTTGGGAGGTCAGATTTTCGACAAACGACGAGGTCAAAGCAGCTGTAGACGCATATTTTGACTCTAAGGAAGAATCATTTTTTTTCAACGGTCTAAATGCTTGGAAGGGGAGGTGGCAAAAGTGTATTGAACTTGATGGTGATTATGTAGAAAAATAAAAATATAACTGATTTAGTATTTGTTTATTTTCTTGGTTAGGCCGAGTACTTTTCAATCCACCCTCGTACATAAATTTCACAAGGACACACATCCTGACCTGGAACACTTATTTGTAGGCCTTACAAATACTTGTTCCATGCGGGATTCGAACCCGTGGCCCTTAGCTTTTTTTTTTAATAGGATCGGGTGACAAACGAGCACACAGTCCACCTGATGGTAAATGGTTACTGTAACCCATAGACATCTACATCTATCCTCAATAAAGACTCAAGATGCAGATGTGTTGTCACCCATGAGGACTAAGATGGAATGCCTCTTTGCCAGTAAAAAGGGTCTCCGGTTCTCTACACTCACCATACGAAACACAGCAGCGTTAAGCTGCTATTTTATGCTGGTTTTTTGTGAGAGCGTGGTCCTTCCCCGTTCGAGCCGACCCATTCGTGCTACAACTATAATATAGCTGCAGCATGGCTCTACCAACTGTATATAGCCAATATAGCTGCAACTCATTGCTAAACCACTGCACCACAGAGCTGTCAAAATGACAAAAATTAATTAACCATATCACCTTGCCTCTCAAGGCGTTAATTTCATCCTGCAATCTCTTCACTAGTGCTGCATCACTCTCATAGCTTGTTAAGGTAGGTTGAGGCATACATTGGAACACAGTTGCCAAGAGGTTATGGAGGGACACAAGCACACTGTCTTGCCAAGCTCGTGTGAAGTACAAACTGAATGATGGGTTTTCTTCAGGTTTTTGAATGTATGGTAACACTGAAAAGAAAATCATATATTAGAATTTTTAGTATCTTGACCTTTAAAGTTATGACAGCTATATGGCTGAGAATAAGTAGCACAGATTTAAGAAATAAGTAAGGCCGGCCACATACACACGGAATTCCGTTTCGGGATTCCATGTCGGAATTCCGAACGGGTCGGCCACACACATACGGAATTCCGTTCTGCCCTCAAAATTTCGAACGGAAAACTACCGTACGTGTGTGGCGGGTCATAGATTTTATATGGACCTGCTGCATTCGGGAATCCGAAACGGAATATCGAAACGGAATTCCATATGTATGTGGCCGGCTTTAACTTTTGCAGTAAGGTGACTAGTGTAGCTGACAGATAACTGACACTATCAATGCTAATAAGATTTATTATTTGAAATGCTTGCTGTGTCAAAGATATGGCTTAAGTTATATAAGATCTCCCACTAAAGATATCTTGCTATAAAATACCTTGGTAATCTTTAATGGATGCATGTGAAGTTACAACATGAGTATCTGTTACGAAAGCTATGCTACAATTATTTTTAAGATTGTGTATGCCCCAGCCTCAACACGCTTGAATGGTGAATGTAAAAATATATTACGAAGTCTACATTTTACATAGCTATTGAAAGACATTCCTTTTATGTGCTAAGATATTAAAGTACAAACTTCAAAAGCTATTTAATAATATGAGAATTATTTTTTTGCTTTTACTTTAACACTAGCAAAATGGGGTAAACCACTAACCTAACAATAACAAAGGCGGCCAAGAATCATTTCACCCATCACTGTTACCTAGTGTCTAATTATGCATTCTCTTTGTTTGATACATAAACAGTCAATAAGCATTGCTCATTTTCTGTTTTTAATGCTTTAGTGTCATATAAATCCAATGTTAGATTTTTTACATATGATGGAATGTCACATCTCCCTTTATTTATAGTACCAACCAAAGTTGTACGTTTTGAAACCAAGTTTTGTGCAAGAGACATAGATGTGAAAAAATTATCTGTAGTTCTACCTTTCTTTGTAGTTCTACATTTCTACCTTTATTCAAAAATTTCAAGTTCCATAAGATGCTTGACTACATGTTGTCGAAAACTTTGCAGTCGAGCTTAATCTTTCCCAAGATATGGGTAAGGATAAAACAAGTATTTCGATTTGACATCAACAATGAGCCAAAATTTTATTCCAAATTTATCATCAGGTTTATTAGCCATATACTGGATAGAATAGAATATAATATATTATATAATAATTTTTATTCAATATACATTACATGTGTAATTCTTATTGAAAGTCATATTTTACTTTACTTTACCACATCAAACATAGGCTATCGATCGAGATAAAAGGCCATCGAACTCTTATAGCAAGCAACTGTTCATCTATTGTTACATTTTCTCCCGGTTTGTAGCAAGAAATGCAGTTGTCAATAAAGCGACTCCATACTTGAGTAATCAATGCAAATGTATCTGTTATAATTCTCGTAGATAGTTCTGATCTCACATTGAATCCTAAATATTTCATAATTTCTTTGGATCTATATCTAGGCATAGCTTTAAATAAAAATATGGAATACCCCATATTTTATTCAATAAATCATTTACAGATATATTTCTCGCTACAAAACAACCTCCATACAGAATGAAAATGAATTTTTCAAGTTCTTCTATGGAAATATACCATGAATATTCAAGCCCACAATTTGCTTTGGCCTCAGTACAATTTTTTATGTGTCGTAAAATCGTATCATCTATCAAAAGTTTTCAGGCTGTCACAAATTTCTCTCCAACTTGCCTCCGTTCATAGTGTAAGTCCTGGCTGTTCAGTCACTACATTATGACTTCCTTGGCGACCTGCCACCTCTGAGCCATTTTCAAATATGGATTTCCATACATATTTTAAAATGAAATTGACATTAAAAAAACTTCCAACAAGTTTGTTTTTAATATATATATATATATATATATATATATATATATATATATACAACATTATATATAAATATTAACATAGACATATAACATATAGACAACATTATATAAATAGTTATTTTAAAACTTTATATTTTTCCATTCACAGGAGTCAAATTAAAAAAAAAATATTGTGGAAATCAATTCACAATTGAGGAATACATAATATAGCATTCTTAAAAAAAGATAGATAAACAAAAACTTATGTATTAAGAACCTCCTCCCTTTTTAGTTTGTTAAAAATGCCTAGTTTCATTATATTAAATATAAATGTAGTACTTTTACTTACTAAACCAGTCTCTCCACTCATTTTGACCCTGCAGCTCAGGTAACATTTTAGACAGAAATTCCGACACTTTTTCATTTCTCACTCCTCCAGCACTCTGAGCTGCAGTAACTAAGTATAATTTGTAAAGACTATATTCTATTTTACGGACAGCTGCAAGATTATGTTAATACATTTACAAGGTGAATTGATGTAATTTTTTACAAGTACAGAAATTAAATTATATAAACATAACTTGACCACAGACCTGGTTGCACATGTATCTCTAATTTTGAAAATACGATGCTGTCTAGATGCGACCAGTATTCCTTTAAACCATTTAGGTCCGAAACATTAACGTAATGTACTATTTGCTCTACAATTTTATCTACTCTAAATCCCTTGTCTTTATCAACCTTCAAATCATTGTCAAAAGCTTTCACAGTCGACGTAAAACCACGAAAAAGTAAATATTCACGCACCAATTCATCTATAAATTGAATATGAGCCATTGCTGATCGAAATGCAATTAGTAGCGATAATATTTAAGTTTACAAATATTTACAAAAATAAATTCATTTTCATTCCTATTCGTTGTTGTTGTTTTTATTATTCGCTCGAGAGAGCAGGCAAAGGAACTAAGCCATACAGCCATGGTTGCCAATGCCAATGTATGTAATTCCCCAAAAATACAAAGAAAGTTCCCCAAATTGGGGGACAAAAATCTGCTGATTCCCCACAAATTCCCCTGGATATTATTTTAAATAATGAAACAAGTTTCAACCATTTAAATAATATTTATTTTTTAACCTTTGTTCCATTGCACTTTTTCCATACGTTTGATGCAATCATTTTGCTCGAAGGATTAAACTTGAAGAAGGGGAATCCCCTAATCATAGAGTTGGCATACTTTTTAATATTTCTTGCTTTCATTTAATTTGAGTTTTTGAGAACAGATCAAAAATTATTAAGATTTTTGGATTGGACGCTCGTCTTTTAAGCGATCTCTTCCTTTCATTTTTAGATTTTTTTGTTAACGATATGCTGATGCATCACATTGCGTAGTTTATGTGAGATTTTAACGACAGCTCAGCCCAGTGGACAATTGATGACGACAGTTACTTAAGTTCATAAGGCGCCTAAGCGATCAAAAAAACTTGAGGTTTATATCAATATCAAAGCACTTATTTCGTCGTTTTCTTTAATATTTCACATGCGTGGACATTTAACACACAAAATCGCATCACTTTTACGTATTAGAACCCACTTCAAACAATTATTTAAACGATAAAACAGGAGCAACAATACGCGAAACCTCCATAGATTAAAAAAAGAAACCTCTTGTATAGAATAGTTACTACACTCTTTGAAAGAAGCTGAACCACAATCTATATAAGGCAATTAAAATGCTGTATTACCTTATATTCACAGCAGCCACTAGGTGTCACCAAAGTATTTTTTTTTAATTAATTTGGAATAAACACGAAATCTGTAGAAATAAATGTATTAACCCTAAAACATTAGAAGATACACAAAACAATTGTACGATTGTAGAAAGAATAAAGATGCAGAAATTTAAATTTGATGCAATGAAGAGTATTGAGTCGTCCGTTATATATAAGTATCTAAACTAAAAAAAAAATATTTGGAATTCTCGAAAAAGTATGTCGACGAAGATGTTAAAATCCCCGCATTTTCCCCGCATAATGCCAGTCCCCAATAAATCCCCAATCAACTTGAGATTCCCCGCAGTTGGGGAATTCCCCACAAATCGGCAACACTGCATACAGCCTTCATTCCTATTCGAAATTGACACTTGACAATTCATTCTTCTTAATAACTGGCTTTACGGCTCTGGGATCTAGTCCTTCTGAGCCCGAAGTTACAATATATTACATATAATAATTATCCTTCATAGTATACTGCTTCACAGTATGTTGATGCGTTACATTGTGCAGCCCTTGGGAGATTTTGACGGCAACTTGAGCCAGCAGATAGCTGACGGTTGGCGATGATATCTCAAGGTGCCTAAGCAGACAGACACCTTATTTTGAGAATCAGATCACCATCAGAGCACTTGTTTCACAGTTTCCACTAATAATTCACACACGCAGACACTTAATACACAAAATCGCAACACTTTTACATATTAAAGTCCACTTGAAACCATTATTTAAACAATAATTCAAGAGCAGCAAACCGCCGCCGGTCAAGTTTCCGCCAAAACTCTCTGACACTTGACAAGTAACAATTGACATCACAGATACTGACTTTTTCTGGAAATAGCCATACAATGGGATTATTAGAACTTAGAGGGTTGTATTGATGATTATAATGATTAAAATTCTGTAAATACATACTCGTTATGGTCGCGAATCATATTTTGTTAAACATACAACCTGACACTGATCTACAAATTGCAAAAAACGTAAGAAAATTTGAATTTCGCGGGTTACCCTTGCGCTTTCACCTTAAAAACTATTGGTAAATCTAATTGTGCAGGCCTTAACCGCATTAAAAAATACATATAACATGATTATACGTAATTTTTAAAGTAGTTTAATTACACACAAGTTTTCACTAAGAACATTATAATTATTACTATACTTCAAATTTTCTAATAATTATGTATATATCAATTTTGTATTAAAAACAAGCTTGGAAAATCCAAAAGTGTACGACTCATAATGCTCATATGATCGTGAAAAAATTTAAAAATATGTAAATTGTAGTTCTATTCGTCAAAGAGTTCCAGTAGCAGTCATTGAAGTACACCTTCATGTCACTCCATCAAATTGGGAGATAAGGTCTCATCATAACTAACAAAACGAGGCCAAACTTGGCACACCTAGTTCTACTATTCGACGAATTCCAGTAGCATTCACCGAAGTACGCCTTCAGATTACTCCATAAAGTCCAAGACGTATTATCATCATCATCATCATCATTACAGCCCTTTACAAGTCCACTACTGAACATAGGCCTCCCCCAAGGAATGCCACAAAGGACGATCACGAGGCACCTGCATCTATTGACTTACTGCATCTCTTACTGATATTTTTGCTCCCTCACCGCTGTTGTAACCAAACGATACAACAATCCAATGTTGTAAACAAATGACGGCGGCCAAGCGCGTGGTAAGGCAGAACAAAGTGTATTTAGGAAAGTAAATAAATACAAGCCTGCTACAACACCGAAAATTTTGAGATTTCGCAGCCGAAAAAAAAAATTATAACTAAACAAAACATAATTAAACTGCCATTTACATTTCATGGCTTCCATGGTAGATAAAGAGATTAAAAATAGATTGAGTTAAACAATTGATGTTTTCAAAAGTAATCGTGCTTACCACTCCATGCAGACTAGATAAATCTACACCATAAGCCACTAAAACCACTTTGTTATGTAAAAATAGCAATTAATCGATTTGAAAAAAAATAACAAGTTCAACAATCATTTACCTTTCTGACAATGTGCTTTTTATATAATTTCTGTGTTCAATATGATTGTTAGATACAATTTTATGCGACAAAACGTTGGAATCTTGATTATTAGGCGCTCGTAGAATATGCCTACGCGCTTTGCGCTTAAGGCATGCAATAGCAACATGCGTAAGCATCATATTAGTCTGTGGTAGCAACTAAAGATTGACATATGTTTTCTTTTTTCTTTGTAATGGATTCATAATTCGTTACTCGTACGGTTCATACCCATTATGGAGTGTAGAGTACAAGGAGAACCATCTTATAAGGGGCATAAGTTGAAAAAGTGTCCTACAATTTACTGAAAATAGAGGTTCCAAAACCTACCACAATAGCGCTGGCGTCTGAAAAACTACGATATGAAGATAGCTGTTGTAAATGGAGTGAAGTCAGCTGAATTCAAATATTTAAAAAATTTCATGACTAGAGTAGTTAGTAAAATTCCAGTATACAAAATCTCAACTATTTACGTAGTACAAAACCAAGCGGATTAGTCGGTCCTTGTTTATTTCTCCATCTTATTCTAATTAATTTTGGCGCTTTTTTTTAAATTTATCCTATGCTACTGCAGCGCCACCCTTATTGGACACCTTTTTAGGGACACTTTTCATATATAGAGATGGTCCTCCTTCTCTCTACACTCCATAGTACCTATGCTTTTTATACGTTGACCTCCCTCTAATGCACTGGCAATTAGGAGATGTGCTACCAGATGAAAATTGCAAACTACCGTGTCAGCAAATTAAAGTTACCGTGTTTTAAGTATAATTACCTTAGATTTATTTTTAAATTACAGTGTATATTACCGTGTCAATATAAAATAAAATACGTTTTATGTAATATGTTTTATTAGAAACAAATTATTATTCCAAAAGTTCTACTTCTTGGTCATAAATTCACGAAGAATTTTTTTTTAAATCATGCTTTTCGAACTTTTGATGGAGGAGTAAAATCAACACAATTTCCGTTTCGGTGATTAGATTGTTTAGCTACAGTGTTTCCCTTTATAAATTTCATAATCATTATATTTGTTCTTTTCGTTTTTATGTCATTTACTTGACTGAACAGGCCTCACATGCAGCATAAGAGTGGGGCAAGAGCCAGAATGTTTAACATAAATGTAGGCAGATATTTAAATCTATTTTCTCCACTTTAGTCCTTTAGCTGAGCTATCTGTAAACAATGAAAGCATTACTTAACTGTTTGTACCAAGAAAGAGGCGATTAAATTTATTTAAAATCAATAAAGTAACATATGACGAAAAATGGGTAATCTTTGAACTGTAATATAGGAACAATGTCAATGAAATTGAGACGTGTTGCTGCTTCTATAACTTTAATTATAATGATCTTATTCTACCTTAATACTAATATATATATATATATATATATATATATATATATATATATATATATATATATATATATATATATATATATATAGACGCGGGGGCTATACTACACTACACCTCCCACCCACAAAAAAAAAATAAAAAATAAATGAATAAGTACTTTTGTTTTTTTTTAAACTTATAAAAATATATATAAAATATGTTTATTATTAATATAAATTACAAAAATACAATGTAATTATATATTATTTGACCTAAATGTAAATTACAAAAATAAAATATAGGTATATTCTATGGGTAGTTCGGGTGGCCAGATTCCTCTACACCTTAGTAATTTCAAGGTCACAATATAATTGGTATGATGTATAATGCATACATACATCATACTTATTTGACATAGTTAGGTAATTCACGAAGTTCTAGTATAGTTGTACAGTCATTTATATTTTAAAATACTCTGCTCTTATATATTTATTCATACTTTTCATCTCATTCCTTATTTTCGATTGTTAGGCCTTTTTATTATCTTTTTTTTTTCATAATTCTTGTACGTACTTTGTTCTTGATTTTTTTTTACCTTTAGCTAGCTTCATTTGTCTTTATTCACTTATATATTTATTTATTATTTAGATACCGGGAATCGGAGTATTAATCCATTTCATTTATATTTTATTTCGTGATATTTATCACGCGGGTACTTTATAAATTAGGGCCCCCCACTTATTTGGGTATTGTATTACATTTTCACTACATTTATTTCATTTTATTGGTACATAAACTTTTTTTTCATACTATATCAAGGTAAAAGTGTACCTTGGGTTGTGCGCATAACCTTGAGGTCTACGTTTAAGTCATTTTAAAAGGACTCCAACAATTGTCACGGAGGAAAACTAAGTTCACACTATGATCCAATGAAGACTATTTAAGACTTCTCTGGTCCCCAACAGTACTAATATGAGTAAACTCGTTCACATCTCACTTGTGCTGAAGGTATTGTTCCCTAGTACCCGTTACACCCGATTTTATCATCCAATCATGGAAACATACCCTGCTCGAGGACTATATGCTTTACCAGTGATGGACGTTCCCGTATCTCTCCATTATTTATTTGTCAAGGTCAACTTTTGTTTTATTTTTATTTATTTCTTTACATCTATAGTATTTATTAGCCATTTTTTAATTGAACCATAATTTTTACGTACACGGCTCCCGTACATACATGATTAATATTAGGGATAATATTCCTATACAATTCATAACAAATTCTAATTTCCCTCACTAACAACACATTGAAACTTATTCTGCATTTAATTGTGTCCAAACAACCTTAAAAAATTTATCGGTTATTAGGTTTTCCAAACTCTCAGCTGATCGGGCCGATTGTATAATATGGATATGCTAACCACCGATAATTTTCTTTACCTATGTCACTCAAACTTACAACATTATCATTACTTTTCATTTCAAATTATATCTTCTGTAACTTATCCATAAATTTACTCACATTTTTTACAAATTTATATCATAAACAGTCTCGTATAATATTTAGTTACATCATTGTCAGTTAGGGATTAGAGGCACACAATATGGGCACAACAAAATTCATATAAATTAATTGTAAATTAATATGAGTTTCAAAATCGTATTAAGGGAAGTAAATATTTTCATGATCCACACAAGTACGCACTATTTTCCGAGAAAATAATAAATAATAATAGTTTAAAAGTTTACGATTTAAAAGTTCAAACAACATAAAACCGAAAACAAATTATTACATTTCATATTAAGATGAACAGAACAAAGAAGTCAAGTTACAACGTCAAGTTGTTAAGCAATGTAATCATTTTCAATAACAATAACATAATCACATAACAAAAGACAGATCAAAATACAAACTGTAATCTTAGCAACGGAAGCAATATGAGACACCTTTACGTATATGGAAACGTTTTCGAATACATCGAACTATGATCACATGGTGTGATTCACACCTAATTTTAAGATAACGTGTATAATATGTTATAGATAATATGAATGCAAGTAAAATAAAGTGTACCTTAAAGTGATCGTTTTAAATATTTTTAAATTTATACAGAAGTTAAGATACTTGCATCGGGAATAGTTTTATTAGTTACACATCGAAAAATGCATTATTTTTTTCTTAATTACTTTTGCTAAAAATATGGTGTTTATTTTATTGTATAGACAACATTATTGAAAAAACATTACAACTTCTATCAAGTTTATATAACAAAACATTAATTTAATTGTATATGAAAAAAAAGAACAATTTTCATTTTTAAGTAGGGTTAATAAACAACTTTAAGATTTATTGTTGTTAGAGAAGTAAAAAAAAAATTATAATAATAGCTAATTGTTTATAACCTTGGTCATAATTGTATACATTTAAATGAAATTTGTTACCAAAAAAAAAAAACAACGGAATCTATTTGTTACGGCCTACGGCTGCTCCCTTAAAGGGTCAAATCCTCAGGGGCCCATGAGCAGAAGACTTCCCGAGCAGACGTAGGTCGGGCCTCAATGTGGCCACGTGGAATCTCTCTAATTACACTAAGACCTTGTCCAGAAAGGGCGAATTCGCCGCGATTCTCTCGCGCGTATTACGCGACGTTGCGTCCACAAGATGCGTACCAACGCGCGATTCCGTGTCCAAATTTTGGCGCTCCATTTCCCTCGATACGTGCACTCGCTCTAGAGTTCGCGCGTTAACTGGACGCAACAAGGCGTCCCTAGTATCTCGACTCGCGCGCTATACGCGCGAATCAAGCGCGAGTCGAAAGTCTGGCGTAGTGCACGCGATTTACGCGCGTATTTTGAATTCGCGCGATGCTTGTGGACGCGATGTATTGATGTCTAGTACCTCGACAACGCGCGATACGATTCGCGGCGAATTCGCCCTTTCTGGACAAGGTCTAAAATATATGGGGGAGCGTTCTATACTACGGCCAGTCGACCGGGAGGAATTTGGACGTAGCTGGACTCTTTTTTTGCTCGCGACCCGCGCGCTCTGCCACGCTCGGCCGAACTTCAAACCGGTATCGCCCAGAGCCGCGCGCCCCCTAGACGTCGATTCCGACAACAGCGTTTGGCGCGAACACTATTACTGATGTGTTACAACGGTTACAACTAACTCAATGGTTACAACTACAAAATATGAAAAATTCATTGACATGGTAAACTTAATTACGTAAAAATGTAATCCACTATATCATTTCAATCATTTTGCATGACACAGTAATAAAAATAATATAAATCAGAAAAAATAACTGAATTAAATTAAATGTAAAATCGTCTCGTGCCTTAATACATATAAATGAGTGCTTAAAACGGTAACTTAATTTTTAATATTGCATTATGATTTTTTTTTCGATACACTAAGAAATATATTAAAATATCAATTAAATCGTGGAATATCTGATTAATAAACTCGACTTTACCATATTATATTAAATACAAGATGTTAAAAACATAACATTTTTTTTTATAATAGTTAAAATATTTTAAAGAAATCTTAAAAAGAAATGACAAAAAAAAATACGCTGATTCGATGTTACCTCAAATTTTCTTCTTGGTTCTTCTTGGCTCAATTTTGACATTCTTCTGGTTCTGGACGAAGCTTTCAAGATTAAACCGCTTCTTCCTTAATCCTTTGGTATTTGGTCATTATATAAAAAAAAAAACATAATTTATTTTCCTCACTCTTTGTAGCTGTTGTCTGTTGTTTTCAGATACTATACGTACTTTTTAATTTTTAGTTTCTGCAAAATTATTATTGTGGCCTCTTCTTTTATTCATATTCATTTATTTTTCGTCACATCCGGTATTGCGTGCATTCTGTTATAATATAATTTTCTTTTTAAATGGTCAATCCATGATGATTTCCATATTTTTTACGTGGTAGAGCCATGCTGCAGCTATATTAGTAGTATAGTTGTAGCACGAATGGGTCGGCTCGACCGGGGAAGGACCACGCTCTCACAGAATACCAGCGTAAAATAGCAGCTTAACACTGCTGTGTTTCGTATGGTGAGTGTGGGGAACCGGAGACCCTTTTTACTGGTAAAGAGGCATTCCATCTTAGTCCTCACGGGTGACAACGCATCTGCATTTTGATTCGCAAACGAGGATAAATGTAGATGTCTATGGGCCACAGCAACCACTTACCATCAGGTGGACTGTGTGCTCGTTTGTCACCCTATCCTATAAAAAAAAAAAAAAAAAAAAAAAAAAAATTTTTTTGTAATTTTTTTTTCTCTTTGTGTAGGCCCGACGGTGCCCGTGCAATGTGGCAGCGCACCGCCTGGCAGGGTCGCCATGTGATATAGGAAATATGTCAATGAAATAGAGAGGCGTGTTGCTGCTTCTATAACTTTAATTATAATGATCTTATTCTACCTTAACACTAATATATATATATATAGTCGCGGGGGCTATACTACACTACAGAACTTTTGTTTGTGATGCTTACGCTTTTATCCAGCTCTTGCTATTTTGTAGGGTGTTAGTCCAGTTTCTTACTATGACTGTAATTTTCATCGCTGTCTATTATAATCTCATATTGTGTGATTTCGTAAAGGTAAAAATTTATGCACCTGTAAATAGTAAAAAACTTTTTCAAGAAATGTCGCGACATTCCATACATTAATTAATATAGGTACTGTTAATTTTAATTTCTAATATACGTATATAATAAAAATCCACTGCTAGAAAATCTTTTTCATTTTACGAGAAAAGAGGCGGCCGGTGTTGCAGATTAAGTCTGCTTAATTAGAATATACGTTTTGTATTACTCATTTTTATAATTTTGGATTCAAATCAGACTATTATTTGCACGGTAATTTATATTAAAAATACCGTAGAAAATGACACGGGAGACGAAATATAATATGAAAATATGGCTCGGTCGAACGAAAAATATTTTTTTCGTTTGAGATGTACATTATATATATATATATATATATATATATATATATATATATATATATATATATTGCTCAGTGTAAAAGGTTCCTTTTAAAAGTATGGTGAGCGATATTAATTTATATCTCGAGATGTAATATCTATTATTCTATATCCCATAGTGAAAAGCGGGCTTCAGTGTTTTACACCCTATTTTTTTCCAGACGGTAAAAAAAGTCATCCATGGAGTATTTGGCAGCACCTGAGAACAAGGTTCACCAACGTAACAAAAAAAAACGAAATGTCAAACGCTGTCAATCGCCCTTTCAACAATCAGCTGTCGAATTTTTAATAAGAATTCTATTGAAAAAAATTGCTAGCAAACAAAATGGATTTTCATAAACGGCGTTGTGTTTAATACGTTCAGTGTGAATAAAGCCAGCAAGGTGGTTATAGTGTTGGGTGGGGGTCTGTGCCGATGGCGAATCGGGAGTGAGAGAGGAGACGGCGGTGGCGGCGGGCGCGGCTCGGAGCCCCAGGCATGCAGCGGCATGGCCGGCGAGGCTGCGGGCACGTCACGTGGCCTCCGCGTCTACAAGATCGTGGTGCTGGGAGACGGCGGTGTTGGCAAGTCGGCTGTTACACTGCAGTTTGTTAGCCATAGTTTTCTGGACTACCATGACCCAACCATAGGTAATATTAGTACTGTTTAGCCTTTTGGACTTTTTAGACGTTGCTTTTTAACAGTATACTATAGGTATTATACCCTACCTATCATCATCATCATCATCATTAAAACAGCCCTTCACAAGTCCTCTGTTGAACATAGGCGTCCCCCAAGGAATGCCACAAAGCACGGTCCTGAGTCACCTACATCCTTTGACTTCCTGTATAAAATATCTAGTATAAAATAACCTACCGATAAATGGGTAAGGTTTGAAAGTAAGTTGCCTGAATTGGGGGTAGTGGTGCGGGGTGGGGGTAAGGAGGGGAGTTACAGGGTCGCCCCCACTCCCCCTCCCCCGCTGGGCAAATCTCATTTCAAGGTTATGTTTTCGTAATTTTTTCGAAAATATAAACCTGATTTATGGGGGGAGAGAGTTGGGGAAGGGTAGGCCAACACCACTCAATGTGGTGCAGTCCAGGGAAGCTCGGTCAATGGTGCTCCGCTTTGTGGGGCTCCTACTTCTGAGTGGTTTATAAAAAATAACCATGAAGGGGATGGCTCCTAACCTAACCTGTCCGAGTTGGGGTGGCCCAAGTCACGAACTCGCCTTGCTCGCTCTTGCACTCAATAAAAAACCAAAATATTAACATTTATAATTACTTTATTTTATAAATATAATTTATAACTGCTACCATTTATAAAAAGGATCTTTATAAATTTTTAAATTAAAAAATTATTTATAATTTTTAAATTAACGAAGCTTATCGAAGTTGTCGAAACACAGGAGGAGGCAGATAAAAATGTTAGGGAGCAAATTCACTTAAACTTGGAAGCAACGGAATGACCTTCCTTATATATTACTATACTCTTTGGGAATGACATAAAGTATAATATTTGTCACTGTCAACAAAATGCCCGGTCTAGCGAACCATTCTTGAATTGAATTGAATAAACAGGCTGTTTTCCACAACTCCATGTCTATATAGCAAACCATAATATGCTTTATCATTTTTGAGATGACTGACATTCAATGTCAAAAATGTTAGAATTTAGTCAAATGTACATTCCATTTCACGTTTAGTTAGTGATTTACCAATATTTTTAAAAAAATAATAAAAAATACTTCGACACTACGCTGGCAGCAACAATTGCATGGGGGTGTTTCAAATAAACCCCCTTGAAGCCCCCACCGACCGTGACAGAATCCTCACATTCAGGTGACTTATTTTCAAACCCAACCTCGATAAAATAACAAAATTAATTTTGTACATTTAATATTGGTATTTGGTAAATATCAAGAAAAATAATATAACTTTTTAAGTAACATTTTAAGCCTTTGTTTGGCAATAAAACAGTAACTAATTTATTACATTTCTGGTACTGTAATTGGTTGTCCACCTTAGAGATGTTACGGAGGTTCGATTCCGATTCAGAAAGTTCAAAACTTCTGATTGATTTTGTACTTTCGATTCCGATTTCGGTTCCGTTAAATTTTAATCGGAAGTTATTGTCGGAGGTCGATGCACAAAGCCAGCGGCGGCTGCGATCAGCGTGAACAAGTTTACATTTGACGCCCTGGGAACCTCCCTACCCCCGTGCCTTCTGTCGATTAGGTAGTCTTTAACTCGATGTTTTGTTTCGTATTTGGCAAAGGGAATGTTACGCGGTCGCACTTCATTTATACTTTTCCGAGTTTTGATTAGTTTTAGTAGTGTTTTATTTGACGTGTAACAGATTTATTTGAATTGGACAATGAGGCCAAAATCAAGTGCCATTTGGAATTATTTCAATGACGTTTCTGGGAATACAGCAAAGTGTAAACTATGTGAGAAGATATATTCACGAAAGGGAGGTACAACTACTTTGTTAAAAAGTAATTTAAAATATGTGCATGCCACTGAATACGAAGAATTCAAAAAATTTGAAACTGAAAAGAAAAATACAGTGCAATAGACCTGCTCTTAATATGTCTCTTTTGCCTCCACTTCCGATTCCGATTCCGCTTCCGGTTACGACAAACAGATTTTAAAAACTGCTTCCGAATTCGGTTCTGATATAACAACTTCCGTAACATCCCTAGTCCATCTCAAGAGCCTTATGTCCAACAGTCCCATAATCAATGAATAATGCCTACCAATTATAATTAATGAAAAGTTTGATTTAATTTGTCCAATATCAATGGGATGGATTGTGTTGTAATTTATTATATCTCTGTGTATGAATCTTTGATAATATCAAATATTCACTACATTTGTTGGATGCGGGGAAGGCAACCAAACTATGTCTCAAATGCAAATGGAACGGAACAGGAACTTCCTCTTCATATTATGTATTTTAAAGTGATAGAGGTTTCCAGTTGTGTGCGCATGACTAAATAAAAAAAAACACCGAAACCAATTTTTAGGGTTACCCAAAGGATAACCCAACTGGACCCTATTACGAAGCCTCCGCCGTCCGTCTGTCTGTCAGCGGGCTGTATCTCATGATCCGTAATAGGTAGACAGTTGAAATTTTCACAGAATGAAATAAAAATAAAAATAAGTTAAAATTAAAAGGGGCTCCCCTACTAGAAACATGTATTACGATGGTACGAAACCCTTCATGCGCGAGTATGACTCGCGCTTTGCCAGTTATTTTATTACTTTATGGATTACTTTTTGTATAAATAACTCAAAAAAAATTATGGAACAGAGTCTACTTTTTTTCTGTGCATAATGTTGGATTCAACATGCCTTAAATAATACTATGATCAAAATAAGTCTGCTTAAAGGTTTTAATTAAAAAAAAAAACCTTATAAGGCCGGCCACATTTTCCACGCGAACACCCACAGCACACATTCCGTTTCAGAATTCCGTATGTATGTGGATGACCTTAGAAATGTATTAAAACTCTATACACAAATATTTTTAAAAGATAAGTTTATATTGTTTCAGAGGACTCTTACCAACAGCAGGCAGTAATTGATGGAGAGCCAGCTTTGTTGGATATCCTGGACACAGCTGGGCAGGTCAGTATTTGAGGCAAACCTTTCTTTTATATTGATAGATGCCAATGCATACCCACCTCGCAGGGGCAAGAATGAGTTATGTCAGACTCAGTGGCAAAATGCCATGTTTCACCTTCACTGCATATTGGCAGGGCCACAGAAACGTTTTCGTCCCACGTAACATCGGAATTGGATGAGGACTTCTTCACCATGAGGCCATGGGACCAGGAACAAACAGCACTCAGAAGCACTGAGACAAGCAGCAAATCTGGACACTCCTTTCCCCACCTCGGTTGCAGTAGTAGAGGGAGAGGACACCTCTTTACAGCCCACCAATACACATTCGAAGTGGGATCGCCAAGCCTACTAGGAGTGGCCACCTCAGGCCGGCCCTTCACCTCTGACCTGGGTTCCTCTTAGATTACCATGAGTGACCAAGCCACGGCTATAAGCCCGAGCTATTAAGGCGAGACCCGTTTGATGGGGACTTAGGTCACACCTAACAATATATTTTCTCTTACAATTAAATATATTTATTACTTTCCACATTGGAAATGTGCTTTTGTGATTTAAATGTTTATATACCATTCTTTGTATAAGTCACAGCAGTCAATTACTATCTAGTTCATTTCTGTTTTAATGTGTGGTTGTTTGCCACCCTTACTTTACTTACACAAATTCTATAAAATGTTGGCAGGTTGAGTTCACAGCCATGCGAGAGCAGTATATGCGTTGTGGGGAAGGTTTTGTTATATGCTATTCAGTCACGGATCGACGATCATTTCGTGCAGCCTCTGAGTACAGAAGGTTATTGGCACAGGCACGGCCTTCAGAGAGACTACCCCTTGTCCTAGTTGGCAATAAGCTGGACTTAGCACCGAGGTACAGACAAGTGAGTACATATTGAAACTTGTATGTGTGAAGAAGACTTTTCTAACATTTGGAGTTATAAATACGGTAGTTTAAATTTTTTTTCCAATTAATTAAAGAGGAAGTCCATTGGCAAGTATTTTTCAACTTGACATAGAGATGCTTCTGACATAGGGATGTAAATCCATGATTGAAAACAAAATATTCTTTTTTTTAATTTTATTTCTTAAAGTAAAACTGTATCTGCGACTGGTTGTCGGTGCTGGTAATAAGAGGGCTGGTTCTTTTCAACCGACTTCAAAAAGGAGACTACTCAATGACATCCACGACTTTCTGCAACCAGGGCGGCGCCACTAGAAAGTGAGCTATAAATATTTGACAGATAGCATAGCAGGGAAGTTGATTTGTTCGGAAAATGTAAAAGTTATTGTTTCTTTTTGTACTATTAGCTATATTTTATATAAATAACATTAAAAACAAATAAACCAAACCATAGAATATATGAATATCTGTATTCATTAAAGTAAAAAAAATAATAAAAAGTTAAAAATGTGCAAAAAGTTAAAGAGCAAATCACTGAGACATTATTTTGTGTATTAATGTAATACTCTAAAAACGGATAAACTTTTATTAAAAAACAACTTCTCAATTAAATTACATTGTGTAACAAAATACTTTACCTCAGTGTCAACTAGCGACATCCGGTAAGCAGAAAATTATTAGCCCTCATTTGACTGTATGTTCTTTCTATTTTTTTCTTTTTTTTGCGTGTTACCTCATAACTTTTTTCTGGGTGGACCGATTTCGATGATTCTCCTTTTTATTTGAAAGCTGATGCTTCTCATATATTTTCATATAAATTTCATTGTTTGACCAATAGTTTTTGAGTTATTCTTAATGATTTCGGTAAAGTCGGTTGTACAAAATTTTTAATTCTCAATTATTTCGCTCAGCGGCTAAATATAGTCACTCAGCCAGAAAACGCAGCCAGTTTTGCTTGGCACTTTACCGCGGGGAGTAGGACTATACGATAATTTAAGTTTTTTTATTATACTTTTTTAATATATTTGATTCTTATGAAAAAAATAAATTTATTGAATATCAAAATAAAGTTCAAAGAGAAGGGTTACATTTTAGGAAGAGAATTAGTTTTTAGGAGAAAGTACGTGAGGCTAATGGATGTATAAAATTTGGCTACCTGGTTTAGGTGTGAACATTACTTTCACTGCTTTCCATCCCTTTAGAATGTATCTTAATACCATACGCGCTTTTATTGTGGACACCAGTCTAGTTTTTAAGGCGTTACCTCCGCAATGCATCAGTGCAAAGAAGATGCCAGATGTTAGAACCTGCTGCCTTATAGGGATGGAAACTAAACGGCTCAATGGGGTTTTTCCTATGTTACCATTCTCTGTGTTAATCGCCAAATCATCTGCTGTTGATGATGACATATTATCAAGTCAGTGCACACCCTAGGTTTCTTGACATCCTGGTTAGTGCGTTTCTTAGCGTTAGGATGCGTTGGTTTTCATCTGGAAATGTTCAGTAGCTCCAATGGGTATTTATTAAAGTGATGAACCCCGAAGTATTCTGCTGTGCTAGTTACACCAAGCCTCTGTCACTCTTGCTACCTAAAAAGTAAAGTTGCAGCCTATTTACGTCCCACGGCTGGGCACAGGCCTCCTCTCATTTCTGAGAGGGTTTTGGGGCAAGTAATTGTCCACCGCCCTTGCCCTAATGTGTGTTGGCGAACTTCACATGTCTTCGAAATATTTTTTTTTCTTATTTTTCAGACATGCAGGTTTCCTCACGATATTTTCCTTCACCGCCGAGCACGTGGTAAATCAGTACTTAAAATTGCAATTAACAATTTCATTGGTGCCGGCGGGATCGAACCCGGGTTGCTCGAGTACTGTAAAGCTTATAGCGAGCGTTAACCATCTGAGCTACCACGGCTCTGGCTACCTGCGTGAAATAATTACCTAAAATCTCAAGACGCCCCGGGCTGATTAAAACTTTGTTTACAAGATTTTTAACTAAGTAGAATACGATCACATTGCTGTTAGGAATCGTATTTTGGGTTTATTTGCTGTTTAAACTACTTACCTTTTCTTCCGAGCCAGGCGACGAGTGGCCTTCCAAGTTGCATCCGTTGGGCATTACAAAACTCACATAGTAGCAAAATATGGTCGATCATAGTCAGAATAGGTTATAAATAGACATATATACCTTATTATATACCTTACATAAGTATGTAACTTACTTACTTACCATTTCGCAATGTATCTTATTTTACTTTTCCACTCTACCACGGAAAGGCCGCCCGTGACGTAGGAAGGGAAAAAGATGCAAAGTAATACCGACACTCGCGCGCAGCGATAAAGTTTTATTTAGCTCGCGTGCTCGATTTATCTAATAAATAATAATTATGTAGGTTATATATATAAACGTCGGCAAGCAGTCAACATCAAAGGAGTGCAACTTCTGTACGTAGTAGGAACTGCCATTTATTCTGTGGTTACATTGTTATACAGGGATTTTCGTATAACAGTATATTGCCCACAGGTTTAGAATAGAATAAAATAATTTTTAATCAATATAGATTATACGTAATACTTATTGAAAGTAATTTTTTACTTTTACCACTATTTCGGAAAAAAACCTCTGTCCTGGGAAGAACCAGCAAGGAACCCAGCAGGATTTTTTTTTAAGAAAGTTCATTTTACAATGTAATATTTTATACAATTGTTATGAAAACATTTAGAAACAGCATGGTAGCGATCACCTCATTCCCTAAGGTTATTAACAATCATAATATACTCTTTAGTAGTAAAAATAACAATTTTTGCTTATTAAATATTTTAAACCTTTTTTGAGTTTAAATTAAAGTTTTAATACTCTTTGGAGTCGAATAACTGGTATAACTAACTTGTGCTTGTTCCTCGTATATACAGAATGTACATTACTATTTTTAATAAAACTATTTTTGTTTTCGTGTACATGCATTAAATTATCGTAAATGTATTGATAGGTCAAAGTTAATATTTTTATTTCTTTAAATTTTTCTCTAAGGGATTCCTTAAGGCCTAGGTTATAAGCGCGATTATTCCGTGTGCACCTATGGCTCAAATGATAGAATGATATGAAGTGCATCATAGTAGAAAGCTTATGATTATAGATGGATAGTAACAGTCGCATTTATATTTTAGGTCACTACCGAAGAAGGGAATGCATTGGCTACACAACTTGGTTGCCCATTCTTTGAGACGTCAGCCGCCTTACGACATTTTGTTGATGATACCTTCCACGCTTTGGTGAGAGAGATAAGACGTCTAGAAAGACAGAGACAGGTATGTATCTATGTTAACTATGTTAAATAAATAAAGTGTCTTAATAGTTTGCAGCACTGTGCAGTAATTTAGAAGAAAATCTTTTACTCCATCATATTGTAAATACAAGTTGTTTTAATTTTAATTCATTAATAAAATTCAAACATATCATTACATTATTTAATCTATTCTGTTCATAAATTGTTGCTGCAAGCTCTAGAAACATTCATCTCATAAACATGTAAACGATGGTTCTACTAAAACAATAATTCTACCTATAATTTAATAAAAAACATACAAAACACAGGAGAAAGTGACGGCTATAGCAGTTATTATTAACCAAATGAAATAAGCCTGTAACTCATTATTATTTCTTAAAAATGGTTAGGACATAGGTACTTAACTAAACAAGACTTAATTCTCTGTGTGTAAATAGTGATAGTCTATATTAGCGCAGACGAAAAGCTGGCAGTGACATTAAGATAAATATGTTACTACCGGCAGAAATTTAAATGATTTGAGATAATGAGTTACAATGCCACCAGCCGGGCTATTCACAATCGTCTCGGAAAGCGAAATCGACTCGGATTCGATAACTTCTCGCACCGAAACCAATAAACGCTATTCACATTTAACGTTCGGATAAAGGTCACTTATATACATCCTATAACTATTGTATCGTTTACGAATTTTGTAGACAAATACGCTTTTGTATTTTTTTAGAGTAACGCCTGAACAAAAACATAATGCAATATTTTGGAGTTAGCCATTGATATCGAATATAAAAAATATATAATTTAACTATATAATAAACAACAAAAAAACTGAGATATGTCTAGTTTCTGTCGGGTCTGGGTTTTTTTCTATGGGGCGTGACCGTACTTCTTTGACGTTTTTTTCGATAATTGTGACAGTTTGCATCGGAAACTTCACGAGAGCTCTGAGGCTGGCGAAAACTTTTCGAATATTGATGATTAGAAGAGATAAATAAACCCTTTTAATCATAAGGTAGGTAACAAAAATTAATTACAATTATATATAAGACGTATTTTCATATAATTACTTCAATATTTGCACTTAATCGTAAAGCTGAATTTTTGTGAAAGGTGTGTTTTTATAAGTTTTCTATCACAAAGCAGCATATATATATGCTGCTTTGTGAAACGAGACATATCTCAGTTTTTTTGTTATTTATTATATAGTTAAATTATATATTTTTTATATTCGATATCAATGGCTAACACCAAAATATTGCATTATGTTTTTGTTCAGGTGTTACTCTAAAAAATACAAAAGCCTATTTATCTACAAAATTTGTAAATACATGTAACTAAATGACGATACAATAGTTATGGGATGTATCTAAGTGACCTTTATCCGAACGTTAAATGTGAATAGCGTTTATTGGTTTCGGTGCGAGAAGTTATCGAATCCGAGTCGATTTCGCTTTCCGAGACGATTGTGAATAGCCCGGCAGGAGTTACCGGTCTGGTTCTAATAAATTTTTTCCATTAATTACAGTTCATCAAAAGTGCACTGCTGAACTTACGCCTCCCCTATGCCCCTATATGGATTGCCTCATAGGAGGATATATGCCATAGTTGCCACGAGTTGGTAACTATGGCATATATCCTCCTATACGCATTCGAGTTGGCAACGGCAGTTTTAGTTACTAAGTTGTTATCCCTAAGATTCTGCTGTCCATCTGTTTCAGTTTCCCTCTGTCGTTTCTTACAACACCCACGCGATGTTATGGGGTAGTAGTTTCTCTTACACCACATTTGCACGGATGGAAACTTCTATTTTCTTTTTAATTTAAATATGTTTGTTGTGTTTCCTGCATTTTTACTTTCTTTTAAATATAACTGGTATTTAAAATTTAAAATAAAATGTTCTTCCACTTTTTTAACTTATTGAAATTTATTTAAGGCTTTTTAGCGATTGCTCAGTTGTTTCATTATTTCGACTAGTCAACAGTGTTGCCATCTTTTTACTTTTAAATTTGGAAAATGTGTATGTTATCCTTAACACAGGCGCTAGATAAAAGGGGATAGTTATATAATAATATGTTTCGAATGTCATGACAAAAATAACATGCACGAATTAATTTTAGTCATCATTAATGGGCACGGGTATATCAACAAGCGGTGGCCGGCGACGTTGGCGGCGACTGCGCAGTATTTTCGCATTCGTTTTCCGGCGCCGTAAACGACGTCATTCATCTCCGTGACCTTGATAGCTTTGTCTGACCAACGTGACCAGTGGCTTGACTTAACATTGATTTTGCCATCAAGTCGGATACCACTTTAACGCACCTTTACCAGCGCTGCTTATTCAAGATCTCTCATATACGTTTCTACATTGTTAACATCGTAGAAGTTATCTGATTTGCGCTTAATGCCTTTAATGTGGTAACAAACAGTAAAAAGAGGTCTACGTGGACATTTTGACAATGGCTCTTGAAACTGGCTTAGACTTCTATGTATACCACTCGACGAGCTCAGCAGCCTTAATACATTGCGCACTAAGTTACGGTCATTTATCCGCAACTTCTTTAGTCGACTGCGAGCGGGCGAGAAGACAAGTTCTTTGTTTTATAAACTTCGCATATTGTTTTCTACCATCTATTATTTATGTGCGCACTTTATCAACGTGATTTGAACTTTATTTCAGATAAGTAAGCATGTAAGTTCATTTTGTATTTGATTAAAAACAGTAACTGTCGTAAACTGCTATTCGCACGCGCACCACGCCCGTGCCCGCGCGATCCACAGCTGTGTGTTTTTGTTCTGAACTGCCGGTTTAGTGGTATACATAAGTCTTTGCTAATAAACTAATGATTTTTTATAATTTATAAAACAAACCGTACGGTTAAAGAATGTGATTGAAAATAGCGTCGCTTCTATTCACCTCTCGCTCGCACATTGTCATCATCTATACTCGCACCCGTCGGTAAAGATTGCAAAAAAAAAAAAAAACGTTGCGATATACATTTTTCGTACGTTCTTTCGTAACTTCAGTCCAACTTGTCATTGGAATCAATGATAAAAAATTTCAACCCGATTTTGCTAATTTGTGAGCTACAACGCGTTCTGAGACTTTTTTTCCATTATTGTTGATTTTTTTTGTTAATATTTTTGTATAAGATATTTACTATAGATAATATATAATAAATAAGATATATTATTGAGACATGAGTAATCATTTTTTAAATTTTCGTTTGTCTTGCCCGAGCGGATCTTCTAAACGCCACATTAATAGATCCCTCCTAAGAGAAGCCAGAGCGGATCGCTCATTATAAATGTTGTTTTAAAATTAATGTAATGAATAGAAAATTTACTATTGACCGAATAATATAATGTTATAACCGTTAATAGCGGGTATTTGCAATTATTACTGTTGTGTGTTGTGTTGTGTTGACGGTACGGGCTCGATAAGCCGCCATTTCTAATCCCTTCTTTATCCGTACGGACTGTAAATTGTATTTTTATTTTATGGTTCAAACCCGTATTAGAATTTTGTTACAAGTTCAAGCGTATTCACAATAAAAGTAAGTAACTAAATAACATATTTTTATTCACGGGTGAAGGAGAGATCTTCTTGGTTTGACAGTGGACAATGTTATCAACATTGTTTGTACCTTCCTCTACCTCACGTTGATGCTTTTTGGTGGCATGATTTTTCCGCGTTTAGAAAGCGGAAAAAGTTATAATCTACTATATTTATCAATGACTATATAGTCTATTATATTTATTGCAACTTCCTTGCTATATTATTTTTAAATATTTAAAAAATATTTTTTTGTATAATTAAGTATAGCAACATTTAAATATTATTGAAAATCGTCATAACCACCTTTATCAAATAAATTTTATCTTTATAAAACCTATTTTTGTTATAGCCTTTTAAAGTATTTATGTACTTAACATTTCCTAGGTTATTTTTAATTTTAAGAGATTTATGTACAAATATTTTAATGTATAGACTACATTTATTTTTTTGTATAACTTGTTTTTGAAAGACATTATTGTAATAATGCATTAATATATTAAATTATTATACCTATGATTGTGAAGATTGAGATGCATTATAGAATACATTTTTCTTGGTAATGAAAATTTGTTGGTATTATGTTTTAACTTGTTGCAAATAAGTTTTAAAAGTACTTAGATTGACTTCTAGATTGTATAACTTATGGTGTTATTCCGTTTTAATAATTATATTGAAAAAAAAAAACTAATTGAATTTAGACAATTTCCTCGCGATATGTGTCAATCAGGCCTCGATCGCAAATACTAGTTTGCAGACGTCTTCCGCGAAATGAAATCCAAGAAAGCAATAAATAAATTTAGATATTTATTAACGATTGATGTATTGAGTATAATTTGATGTAATTAAATGTTTAGCTTAAATTCATTATTAACGGTAGTGTAGTTGTCAAAATGGGCAACAAAAGGGTTCGAAATATAGTTATCGGAGCAAAGACTGGGTGGCAAATTACCACCTTGTCATGGTTGCTTTTGATTGGTCTTCAAAATATGTTGCAAGGTTCTCATGTTTGATTTACGAAGCTTGTAAATGAAATTCATATTCCTAAAGAGAAATTTAAAAAGACCATGTATTTGTTATCGTGTATAATTGTAGCCAAAGTGTTTTACTAAGTTGAATAAGGTTGATTTTTCGATTCATATAATATTTGTCGACCTTCGAGTACAATTTTTATATTTATAAAAGTGAGATCTATCGAGCTCATTGTTTAATCTGTTTGACAGAGATAGCAATAAGAATATGAATTAAAAGAAAATATATTTACATTATAATTCACAATTAATTTAGTGTGTGTAATATTTGAGTACTGCCTTGATAAAGGATGGTCATATTTATTAAGTTGGAATTTTATGAGTATTTTATATCATCGTACAATGTTCATACAATTACTACTAAGAAACTGAATAGGTATAAAAGTTTCAGAATTTTATATTACACTTAACAGTAAATTAATGGAATTCCAGCTTAAATTATTATATTTAAAGTTAGGACGATACGCACAAATTTTAGAGTAGTGAGTAAATTGTAATGTTGGTGTGTTTCGTGAAGTGCATTCGGAGCGAAGGAGCTGTCGTGTTTCGGGACGATTATGGCTTAAAAGATCGTAATAATTGTATTAACCTTCATGTCATTAGTGTTTATTATGATAACGCTAGAGCTCGATGGAATTAGACCACAGGTAGCCATTTAGTGTTTAGTAGACAACGAACGAAATTGAGGCAATGTAACCCCAGAATAGACAAATATGTAGTGGGTAAGTAGTTATTTACTTTCTTGCCTTTCTCTCAAAAGACCACATTAAAATTCATTCTCGATTATATAAGCTTAATATGATTTACTATGTCAATAAATCTCTGTTTTGACCGTAGACAAAGAAATCGAGTGTTCGCCTTATAAAGTCTATTAGAGTCGGGGTAACAGTGCGGCCTATATTTTTTGTCTCTTTCCATTTTGTTCGTAATTATGATTTCATAATTATAGAAATGCTAACTAAGCTTTATATTAGCTTTGTTTTTTTCGTACTACTTTTGTCTATATTTATACAGCATGATCCGAAACAATCATTTCATTCTCTCTGTCTATAGTTTTACTGAGTCAGTCAAACTTAGTCTAGGCATTGAAGACTCCTGTCCATAAAAGGTTTCTAATATCTGATGACGGCGGTCACTGCATATGTGCGAGCGCGACGGCAATACGTTACTTATGCGACTTAATCCGGGAGCGACAGAGACAAGTAATGACGGGTCATTGTACGAACTTTTTGTGTTATGCGTGCGGACTTTACCGACCAAGAAACAATATTTCTTGGTAAGTCCGTTTGGGAATGGAACGGATACGGTTGATGAAAGATTTTTATTGTCATAGAAATATTATATATTAAGCAGGGAGATCCAAAACGTCCTCATAAAAATAAGAAGAAAAAGTAATAAATATAACCTTTACTGTTTCAAAATGCTCAAATACCGAAGCATTTGGCTAAGGTGTGACCATCTATGATGTTTTTAGGGTTTCTTGGGATAATTAGCGATTCAGGCAACTTAAGAATAATTTCTGTAACGTCAACCTGTAATTGTTATATCTGCCGAATTTATAATAACTTTATGATTTCCCTAGTGATCCATTATAGTAATTTAAGTGCGCTGGAGCCAAATAATTTTATTTTTTGCTCTGAAAGCAGGTTTGTTTCGCGCCATTCGTTGTCTTTATAAAATTTGTTCGAAGTGAATACATTGTACCTTATTAATATTTATCAAATTTATAAGTACAATGTCATACAAAACTGATGTACCTTTTGATGTATTTTAATTTTATATTCCCGAATTATGGTATGTTCTGTAGTTAACCGTCACTGATAGGTTCTGTGTCTAGTCATTATTATTTATTCTAGATGTTTGTCTAAAGTAGAGGCTTACTTGTAAAACAGATCCATAGCTGTCGTTAATTTAGATAATATCTCTCCGTTAGTCTCGCTAAAACTCTAAACTGGGTAGACCGCTTGTGATGATTTTTTTGTGTGTTTGAGTGGGTCCCTGGATGTTTTAGATTCACAATTGGACCCGGTAGGTGGCGCTGTTGTCGAGATCCAGAAATCACTTGAGCGAAGCCGGAGCGGATCGCTAGTATTATATAAATTTTGATAGGTATGTTTTTTTTTATAATACGATGTTTTTATATATTTCGTGTGATCACCTTTTGCAAATAGTTTAACAGGTTCTTAAAGTCTGTTATAATAACATTTACGAAAATTAACCCTTTATGGATTTTAAAATCCTTAAAATTTATTGTACTTAACGGTAATGTTTGTCTTACGTATGGTGAACCCAGTGCTGTCCATCTTATTTTTCTGTTATAATATTGCATGGATTTGATCCATGCAATATTCTATTATTGAATCCCGCTTCCACACGCAGGTGGTGGACTTCTTTTCAGCCTAAGAGTTCCACAGGTGTTCATGGACTTTAAGTTCGTTTTTCACTTCAGTTTTATAAAAAAGGTCCTTTCCAGCTTTCATATTGTAATTTTAATTGCATTTTCTCTTTTGTGATATTTTCTGCTACAGATAACACTTTGGATCTGTTTTACTTGTAAATAAATATCTAATATTGTATGTGGTAGTTTAATAGTGTTATACGGAACCAATCCTCGTTATTTATTAGGAATGTGTTGAAGTGTGTTAGTTAT